TGACGCTGGCTGACCTGTAACTCCAGTATAACAAACAGCTGCAATATCAGGCCGGGAGAATTACTGTAAAAGGAAGAAAGTGCTGCTAGCCACTCACCCCTTCTTAACACAGTGGCAAGGGTTTCTCAGGCCTCATAGAACTTGCCACAACAACTAAAAAACCCAAGTGAAGAATGAAATAAAAAAAGAAAATACCAGGAGTTCAAAAACATCACTGGAAATTAAAACAAATCTCAGGTACTTCCTAACCTAGGTCTCTGGAGCTTTTCTGCCATTACCCAGCAGGAGACCCAGGCAGACTCATAAACAGAAGTCAGCTGTGAAGTATACCCAGTTGTTTTTGTGTTTTTTTCCCCTAATAAAGTTAGGAAAATGTTTTCTTGCCTTTGAGCTGACAAGCTTTGTAACCCCACAGGTTAGAGTTTCCAGACCCCAAATTTCAAGTCGCCTCATGCTCCACTGAGCTTGGGAACCACTGATTACTAAACCATCCATGGTAAATCAGGGAGAAAATTAATATAAGGCCATAACAAGTTCAGCTAATCACCCAAAAGGCTCCCTCAAGGCTTGATAGGATGCTGTCTGTGCTAAAGATAAACAGAAGTCTGAGGTAAGAGTGAGAAATAGAATGGGAGAAATTCAAAGTGGGTTTTCGTTACCAAAGAGTGGAAAGGTCACTGAGGGACTTGGGTCCCTCAGCAATACTATGAGGAGCTCTGGTGTGTGTGGTGGCCTGGAAGCACACACCAGTCTTTCAGGTTATCTGTACCAGGGCAGTGTGGGCGTGGCGAAAGAACACAGCTCCAACAGGAGACCGTCTCCAAATTCTCCCAACACCTTTCCTCAGCAGACTGACCCAGGAGCCCCTTTCCTGACTCATAAGCCCTGTAGCACCACCTACTGGAAGAGGCAGAAGCCACCTCCACTGTGGGTCTTCTGGGGGGTCTGTATTCATTCATTCGTGCAGGCATTCATTGTCACTTATTAAGGCCCTGGAATGAGCTGGGGCCTGTACTAGGAAGTGGAGATCCAAAGATCAACAGCGCCTTAAAAATCTCCATTCAGTATGCTCCTCGGACCCTTTAGTGGGTCTTATTCACAGAAGAACCACCTCGAGCACTTTTACATCAAAGAGAAAATTGAAGAAGAGTCCTAAGTCATCACAAAGACTGAAAAATGGCTCCAGGGTGAGCATTTGCAAAGTACTATACCTGTAGCATCTACCTGTACAGAACAAGTCTCCACTTAACATGAGATGGAAATGTCCAAACAGTCTTAGGGAACTGCATTATCAATATTCCTGTCTTTAACACCTTGGGTGCCTGAAGTGCATTAGGCTGTTGCGTAATCTATTTTAAATAGCTTTTCCTAAGATAAAGAAAACAAACAAAAACAAAAATAAATAAATAGCTTTTCCTTATTCAGTATGTGTGTACAGGCACACATTCAAATCCTGTATTCGATGGAAATAATGAATTCTTCTTAATGTATTCTATTGTCATATTCTGATACATTGAAAAGTACCTGAGCAATACTAGGAACAATATTTTAAACTCCAATAACCCTTTTTCTCCAGTTTTTTCCATTCAGTATCCAGAGAAAGTGAAGCTAATATCACACTTTCTTTAACCTGCACAAGCTGATATGCAAGCAACATTGTTCTTTGACCATTTGTAAAGAGAGTTAACTATGATCATTATTATTACTTTATTATAATGATTACTATTCTGCTGTATCACTAAGTAGTTAAAAGAAAAGCACAGTGTGTCTTCCACTCCCAGAACACGTTTCTCCCCTCTGCCATAGCTCCAGCAGATAAGGGACATTCTGATGTTTTATTTGTTAAATGGTTGACATTTGCTAGCTGAAGCCTGGAAAATCAGCCCCTTAAAGTGGGAGGTTGGCATGGGACTAGAGCAGAGGTGAGGTGAGGCTAGCCTCTGCCACCCCTAGCCTGAAACCCAGGTTCAGAAGCCAGTACTGTGAACTTCCAGGCTGTTCCAATAAGCTGACCTCAGTCCCCACAGCCTGACCCTCAAAACACATACACAAACCACTGAAAAGCTGGGAGAGAAAGGGCTGATCATTCAGTGCCTTCAAGTGTGTTGAAAAGAGAAGAATGCACAACCCAGCCACTGGCAACTTTTTTGGTTCTCCACGCTCTGGTTCGTCACCATCACAGATCTGAGGTAATCATTTGGCTCCTCTTTTCTGTCTCCTGAAACCCCCAATTATGTTTCGCTGCCTCTTTAGTTATTAAGCCACACCAACCTCTTCCTTGTAAATATTCATGCTCCTCCAGGTCTGCCCTCCCCACCTCTGCAACCTTCCTCCCAACCCCCCACCCCTCCAAAAAAAAAACCCTGGGCAATGCCAGCCAGCCAACCAAGGAAGAGTGGATGGAAGGGGGGGGGGCGGGTTCTGGTGCTCTTTCACCTGAAAACAGCATCTAGGAATGGAGACAAAACTGCTCCTGTGAATTATATAATCACTGCAGCTTCAAGACAGAGAACTGGAATTCAGGTTGCCATAGCATTTGTTGGCATGTTGCTGGAAAGGTAGAGCTCCCAGCCAGCTGCTCACTCACTCCCTTCCCCTCCATCTTTCTCAGGAACCTCTGGGGGGTGACATTCCTACTTTTAATGTCTGCTCCCTGCATGGTGGGGTTGTGGGGGGATGAGAGGCAAAGAGGCAAAAGAAATGAGACAGAGTAAGGAAATGGTCTAAGAAGGGGTTTATCCTGCACTAAGAAGAAGCCTTGTAAACTAAGATTATTATCATGTGAAAAATTATTACCACAGTATATTGCCAGTAGCAATAGGACGATACTACTGAGCTCTCCTCTTCAAGGCTGCTTAGACTGAGGAGGTGGATAAAGGAAGCATTCTCTGAGAACTGGAGGGGAGTAATCCAATCCATCCCCTCTCTTCAAAAACACCACCTTTTCTTTTATGTCTCATTCCCCCTTCCTAATCCATCCACTACTCCATCTGCTAGAAAAAGGTGAGGAATGGGGCACCAGGCAGAGAAATCCAAGGACAGAAGCTGCCCTTGTGACCCCAAAGTCCTGGCTCACCCTAGAACCCATGACTCTTGACAAGATTCTTTCTTCCAAAAGAGGCCAAAATCCCCATGCTGCCACTCAAGCTGACAAGGAGAGAGACAACTCGCCCCTAATCAGTTTCAGGGCGGACGGAGACCAGGCAGGCAGGCTGGCCGGCAGCTTCTGGCTCTAAGGGGAAATGGCCCTGTCCCCAAATGGTGGAGATGGGGACAAAAGGAGGGAGAAGGCTGAACAAAAGAGATCTGGAGACTACTCCTTCCACCAGGCTGGTCTTCAGGGTATCACTTGGAAGTAGCCGGGGAAGGATCGGAGCCCAGCAGCCACAGGCATTCATTTGGGAAAAGAGCTGGAGAGGAAGAGCCGAGCAGGGAGGCCTGGGGAACTGGGAGACTACACCCAAAGAGACAGAGCCCCGCGGTGAGAAGAAAGAGATGCAGCTGGAGGTTGCAAGACACTCCAGTGGGACCACCCTGTCTACACCCCATCATAACCTGAACTGCTGAGCAATGTCAAAAATAATAATTTGATAATATGGGGGGTGAGGGAGAAAGTTTCCAGGAAGTGGGGAGTTACCTGAACGCCTTTCACCATCACAGGGGGAGCTGGTGACACTTGATGCCAGGGATGGACATGCTCAGAAAACACGGGGCAATAGTGTGGAGCAGCGGGAGCCAGTCACACCCTTTCGTTATTTCCTCAAAACACGAAAAAGCAAAGCCCACACACCGCCCGAATTCTAGCCGCTTACATCCTCAGGTGCTAGCCCACATGTGGGCGCGAATAAGACGACATGAGGCGTGGGCGCACTCGGGGTCAACGGCCGTGGAGAGGTGGGTGGGTGTAGGTGAGCCTGGAGGGAGGGGACGAGAGAGGGGGAGGGGGCGCTGAGACGCACATCCGCACCCCACCCCCACCCGTGCCCCGGACGCGCGGCCCGGAGCAGGGCGCGGGGAAGAGCAGACGCCGGGCGGCCCGGGAAAGAGCGGACGCCGGGCGGCCCGGGGCGCGGGGCCGGCCTGG